CGATACCAAGTAGTACGTCCACGCGACCTGCGTAATTGCCCATGTCTGACAAGCAGGGCCACAGCGATGGGATCTTCCAGAGGACCTCACGACCTCGAAAACGCAGCCTCAGTACTCCTGCACGTACCTTCCTCATCGCGTTCTGCAAGTATCCATTCCCCACTTTCATCGGAAAAGCGTTCTGAACTCCGAGTCGATAAATACATTCCAGTCGCGGTCATGATAATATTTGCCTTGCTTGCCATCCTCGCGCGTTGGTTACGTCACAGGGCTTCGAGCCAGAACGCCCAACCCATGGGTGGGGGGTCGAGTGGGGCCATGCCAATGCACTACCGGCATCGGCCCACAGTGAACAACAACCCGGAGACGATGCTAAATAACCAAAATAACCTACAGAATCAGATGGCGAGCTCAGGAGGAGGGGGATTTGCAGGAGGAGGAGGAGGGATATGATTCTGCAGGGATCTAACCATTAGCCGGACCAGACGACGTTCGTTCTTGATGTATTGAAGGTGTAATGCCAGACAAACTTCCCGCATTTTCGCCGTCTTAGCGGGCGCTGCTCAGCACCTGCGTTCGGTCATTTTAGTTAATTTGTCCATCCACAACTGAGCATCCGATTATCAGAATTGATCGACCAAGGGGTGCCTTACGAGTTGGAGGTTCAACTCCAGCATCGTCCGGCCGGAAGGCAAAGCCAAGGTTGGTTCGATTCCAGGCATCGAGCACTGTCATGTATATTTCAAATGGTATCCGAAGGAGTACAACTGAGATCGTTGGAGCGCGACCTGATTGAGGGTTTTGCAGCGCGGGAGTACGAGAGAGTTTGAGCATCGACGCATTGGTCAGACGGTACGACGCATACGATATGTACCTTAATTTAGATCCACTGTGGCTCGAAGGTCCAGGCAGTTATAGCATCGTCTGCGTCCACCCCTTCAAGATAGTCAAGGTCAAGTCCTCCCTGGCGGAGCATCTCCATATCATGGAGTTCAAGGGGGTCAGGGCGCACACCTGAACCTACGAGAAGCTTGGAGGTTTGGAAGCCGCCAGCTCTGCAGCGCGATTCGATCATGTCTAGATAAAGGCGGTGGACGAGATAGCCTCCTTCATCGCACGCAAAGGATATGTCGCGTAGTTGTGGGGCCACGGCGCCGCTGGCGCCGGTCGCGGTTATTGTAAGGTGCCTCATTAGAGTCTGTGCCAAATCACTGTCGTGGGGCCTGGAGATTATGACGGCGAAGGCGAGGATGGAGGTGAATTGACCGAGGATGTCGCTGGTCGATGTGAGGACGGGAAGCCCCCAGAAACAAAGTCTTCGGAGAACACACGATGACCGGGACACAGCGGATCGTAAAGCACCTAGAATATTGGGACCTTCAGTCTCTTCGCAATCGATCGTAAGTTCCTCTAGGACAGGGAGTCGGAGGAAGTGTAAGAGTTCCGCGTGGGAGACCAGGAGACGTCGGAGACAAGTCAGATCGATGATTTCTTGACCATCCGGCCAGTTCTCAATGGCATCGACCGTGAGTCGGGTGTCGACAAGATTTGGTGTTTGTCTGAGAATTTCGACGTGGGTGCCCCAGGAGGAGGCGTGAGATTGATATTGGGTGAGATTGTGTGCGGGAAACAGGACTGGAATGGGAGGGAAGTCGCTGATGCAGGCTCCGACCAGCAATGGAGCATTTTGGAAGCACTCCACGCGATCAATGGCTGGCTCGTCCTCCGGCTCCCACAGGAGATAGAATCTCCGCAAGAGCGGGAGGCGGTCTCGTAACGTGCTCAGCAGAGGAGCGATGTGCGAAGTCACCCTGAGACTGAGTTCCTCCCACTGAACGGCGTGCTGGGTCAGAAACTGAAACATCTCAGTTTGGGGCTGAGGGTGTAATTTTTCAAACCCATAAAAGTGGATCTTCAATCGCTTAGCGCGAGCGATCTGTGTTTCGACCATGGATAATGGATAAAATGGCGCTGGATCCTCGTAGTCCAGGGTCACCAGTGACCAGAGCGAGGACTCTGACAGTGCGACTGCCCTCCAATACCGACTGACGTGTGACAAGGTCCAGGGACTCTCCTTCACGGGGACCACTGTTCGCCGTGCTTTGCGAGGTATCGGCAACGTCAAGGAAAATATGTATCCAAGGATCTCCGGAGGTATCCGGCGCAGGGCTGAGAGAATTCGTTGTGTCTGTGAACGACGGCTCGACACCGCCGCGCGCTCTTCCTCCAGCCGTTCCAGCTGTTGTCGAAGTCGCAGGACCTCGTCGTCGAGATGAACCAATCGCTCATCGAGCGACCTCAACGCGGAGGTGATCACAGGCACGTCCGACTCGAGGGGCGCCTCATTAGAATTGAGGAGGATGTGCGGTCGCGTTCCTGGGCTCGCAGCGTCGAGAGTTCCCTGAGGCTGCGGCGGATGGCGGGAGGTCACATTGGCGCCACACTGGGAGCATAGCGACGAGGGCATTTGTGTTTCGGCTGGGGAAGAATAAGGGTGGAAAGGAGGGCGCAGGGAGGAATCCGACCTGTTTACGCTGTTTGCCACTCGTCGACGTCGTTTTCGCAATTTCAATCCGGTCACGGCTCCCAGGAGCCCTTGTTTGAGAGATTCAAGAGAGGCGGCAGTGAGTCTGAGCGCCTTGTGTCCTTGAGTAAGGTTCCAAGCAGATTCGCAAGAAATCGACCGCGTTGGAGAGGCCGAGTCCCAAAAAGGAAATCATGACCACAGACAGTGATGCACACAGATTTCTTCTTGAAACAGGGAAACCACAGACGCCGCGGCGCCAATCAGTTACAAAGAATAACATTATGTCGAGGACCAGACACAGGAGGAGATAAGTACTACGGTAGAGTGCACGAAGCAAGGAAGGGGGAAGAAAGTACGAGCAGAGACGAGAGCGAGCAGAGACGAGTACTAGTATAGGAAACCGAAGCCAGAGAAGGAGACGAAGTCCGCACCCACTCACTCGCGCGCATCGCCATGAACAGGCCACACACTCGCGTACTGCGTGCCCTCCCGACTGTGCGCACGCTCCCGCTCCCACCCACGCTTCCTCAGCCGCACCATCTCCGGCCCCACCCCGTTCCTATTCCCATTCCCGTTCCCCGCTTCCTCCATTGCTATGCCCACCCCCCGCAGCGGATCCACTCCGCACCTTGCGTTCATCGTCAGCCTCTCCGTCCCACGCAGTAGCTCCTCCGTCTTCCGCCGCTGCTCATGCAGGTGCTCCTGGGCGCCCGATGCCCCCACGCTCCCATTCGCCAACCTTGTGGTATCGCCATCGTGCCTACCCGCGCCGTGTATCCCTGCGCTGCGCAGGCGCGAGCGTGGACGAGTTGGCGCTGGCTCCGTTGTTGACAAGGGCTGGCGCCCCCGCGGCTCGAGACGCTCCCCGACCCCGCGCCGGCGTTGCACATGCACCCCACCCTCGGCACGAACGAAGGGAGCCCGCGCTCGAGCGGCGGCAGCCCGCCCAACCCAGTCGGAAACCACTGGCGCTTGTTGCTGCCGTTGCTGCTCCTCTCCCGCTTGTGCTCGTGCTCGCCCACATGCTGTGCCTCCTCGCCCACCACTGTAACCACGGTTGTCGCGTTTCTGGCGCGTCTTCGGCGTCTCGTCGGTCGAGTGAGTGTGGTCGTTGAGGAGATATGCGACCGGCGGAGCACGACGAAGGCTATGGCGACTGTTTGGTCGGTCATGACTGCGTCTGAAATCAGCATCCGCCATCAACGGAGGAGGAAAAGGTGGGTGTGCGTGCTCACCGTGCCCATCCCCACCGCAGCCGGGCGGCGCTTCACGTCATCGTAGGGCTCCCGGGCTCCCGCTGCTGCGCGTCAGACCAGAGTCGTTGTTCTACAAGTCGTCTCGCGAAGGGACCACGCAGCAATTCCATCAGTGCCGTTGGGGTCGTGTCCAGCGGCGTACGGCTGTACAGGCGCGCGAACGTGAACACGACCGGATTCGCTCGAGCCCGCATGTGCAGCGCTTGAGTGGGCGGCTTCGTAAAGTTCGGGGATTGCAGCTGCAGGGCCTGCGAAACCAAAGATATCAGATGCCAGATGAAGAGCATCAGCAGATGGTCTACGAGGGCTGGGGAAGGATGAGCCGTAAGCAAGGGAGATTCGGCGGGCGCATAGGCGCATTGGGGTCGATCAGCGAAGAAGGAGGAGGAAGGAGCGTCTTGAAGGCTGGGTGGGATCCATACATGGAGAGGGACCAGGGGGCAGGCGGCCGCAGGCCCGAAAGGTGAGGAAAGAGTAGTGTATACCGGAAACTAGACCAGACAGGGCGCGTTGAGGTCCTCGATTGCTCGGTTTGCAGCCCGCGACTTGCAATCCCGCGACTTGAATAGCGCCTGAATCCCGTGTGGGTTAACGCGAATTCGCTGTGTGAACGGACTGGAAATTCGCGGCTGGGATCGAAGGCAGTGTCCAGACACGGCCCTCGCATCTTGCGTGGGGTGGCCCTCGCATCTTGCGTGGGGTGGCAGGTGTCTGTCGTCCTCGTTCGTTCATGTTTTCTTCAAGTGCATTGCGAAACCGATTTGTTGACGTCCGCGTCGATGTGATTATGAGCACCTTTGAGAAAGTTCTGGCGGGACGGGACGTTGGGACTAGGCGATGGACGCGGAGATGTCTTGCAGACACAATTATCGGAATTGCGAGGTCTGAGGCGATGTGGACGTGCCGTCGGCCGAGAGGCGCTGTCGGGACGGGGTTGTGCAATTCCGATCCCAAACCTTGTGTGCGAAAGCAGAGAGAGTCTAGAGGAGAGCGCCGACGTTTTTGTGGTGAAGGTCGCTGTCAAGTCCTGGGTGGCGTCGTTTGGGTGTCGGAGGGAAGAAGAGGAAGAACACCGCCACTGTGATCCGCAGGCACCGCCACTGACGGCAAGCTAAAATTGACAGGGGCGGGAACAAAAAGAAAAGCTCAACCTGAGTGCAGGCAGCTCGAAAAAACAGGTCAAGGTAAGGAAAGAAAGACCGGATAAAGGAGCAAAATGACCACCGCAGGTCTCGAACCTGCAATCTCCTGATTCCGAAGTGGCACTCGTAGTCAGACGCGATGCCATTTCGCCAGGCGGCCATGTCGGATAGGTGATTTCACAGCACCCTGATCCGCGGCGCGGGTTAGGCTGGAACTTTGAACTTTGGTTTGAATGCAGTCTGAACCAAGTAAAAGCCCCCGTGGGTGAACAGTTTCAGTTTACATAAGGGTGAGCTTGACTTCTCCCTTGGTTCCATTGAATTTGCCTCCAGGTCAAAGTGTTACAATTTGTTCATTTAATGTCAGACTTGCGGCTCCATACATACATACCACTGTCGAAGAGTGTGTCTTGCTCATGAAGTAGATTTACTAATTGGACAGTGCCTCCGGCCGCTGGACCCAGCCGCACTACACCTACGAATGGCCGCCTGGCGAAATGGCATCGCGTCTGACTACGATTGCTAGTTCGGAATCAGGAGATTGCAGGTTCGAGACCTGCGGTGGTCATTTTGTCCCTTTTGCTCCTTCCCAGGAAGGTGTACACTCGCCAGCGCCAGATACTTTTCCGAGCTCTACTCGCAAAAAGGTCTTTTCTAGATTTCCCCTGTTAGCCAGAAACAAGAGAGAGAAAAAAGGCAACCATGATTCCTTCGGAACATTGTTTTGGATTGAGAAGAAAAATGGCAGTTCGAAGGAACAACGAATGCCTTCACAGGGAATTGAACGCCTCCTCCTCAAGAGCACTGCACCGGAGTTGAACAGAGGTGAGATACAAAGTGGAACTTTGCCTGTCAGTTCAAGTACTTCTGAATTCCACACTAGAGTCCAAAAAAACTAGGAGCATGTGAGGCATATGCAATCCAACCAACACTGCGTGCAACATAAATCTTGATTATTTGCCCCCAACCCTCCGAAGGGACTTGGATTCCAGATTTTTGAAAAAAACTTACCAGAAAGAGGTGAATGCCTTGAATGGAATCGAACCCCTCCTGAATACCATTGTGGAATGCAAGTTGAGGTGACCACTGTGGTCTACAAAGACTTCTGGAATGTTGAAGCATTGTTGGTGACCCAGGGTGATTTTGTTCAACCTGAATGAAAATCGACCACTTCGTCTGGAAAATATCACCCGCCAACTCACCAGTAGATCAAGCACAAGTGCCTCAGTTGCCGGGAGGTACTTATATTAAGGAATTTCCCAATCATGAATTCACTGGCACCTTTTGTCTTTGTGGATTGCAGAGGCAAGAAAAATTTCAACAGGGAATCTGTTCATGTCTTCGTGGGGAATCGAACCCCCTTTCCTCACTACTGTCATGCGGGAGTGCAATCAGGTTGAGGTGACCACCACGGTCTACGAAGGCTTCCTCCCTACCCGCTGCTCATCGTGGGCAGCAGTTAATTTCTTTTCAACCCAAGCACAGATTAACCACACCATCTGGAAGAGATCAATCACATCAGCAGCATCTCCGACAAGGCACACCCTGTGAGAAGACCAAGCACAAGTGCTTGAGCTACTGGGGGTATTTGGAGAAATCTTCCGACCTATTTGAAACTTATGGATTGCAAAAAATTGCAGTGGCAAATTTCGTCCCACGCCTTCGTAGGGGATCGAACCCCCTTTCCTCACTACCGTCGTGTGTGAAATGTAACCAGGCTGAGGTGACCACCATGGTCTACAAAGGCTTCCTTCCTCCTCACTCCTGTTCACTGTGAGCAAGGGTATATATTTTTCAATCAAAATCAACCACGCTGTCCGGAAAACATCAGATAAAGTACTAACCGACCCATTAGATCAAGCCTCAGCCCTGAGTTGCCGCGGTATCTTGATGAACTTGAATTTCTTCCCGGACCCACTTGCAAAAAGGTGTGCTAGGATCCCCCCATGCCTTCGAGGGGAATCGAACCCCGCCTCCTCAATTCAGGAAACCATCAGGATGTTGTTAGATTGAGGTGACCACCACGGTCCACAAAGCTTCCAGCATACTAAAGTAACTTTGGTGAGCAAGGATAATTTTCTTTCCTCAACCTGAATGTCAACCACATCAAGTTTTCAATTGAAAGATGTCACATCAACCACTTGGATACGAGAAGATAAAGCCAGGTTAGGCCTGCCGCGGTATCTTGATGAACAGAAACAAATTTCCCAACCCACTTGCAACATTCGTGGATTGCAAAAATTGTGCCATGGAAATCACTTATGCCTTTGTGGGGAATCGAACCCCTCCTGCTCAATACCATGTGAGTGGATGGGACAACAATCAGATTGAGATGACCGCCACGGTCCTACAAAGGCTTCTGGCATACTGAAGCAGTTTCGGATTAAAGCTCAGAGTTCCTGTGTAATTCTACCTACGTATCTATGTATACCCAAAAACCAATCATCACTGAACTGAAGGAAGGGTTGTATCAGCATCCTTGATAAACTGAGTACACACCTACCAACCCTAGAGGCTAGACTTGCAAGAAGATCAAGCACAAGTACCTCAAGGCTTTTAGTCGCCGCGCTATCTCTGTTCACTTGCGAGGATGATCATGATGATCTTCGGAGAAGCGTGGTTTGTGTGTGATGGCGGGAACAAAGATCAGGTCAATTTTTTCTCTTCTTTTCAGTGGCATCCACATACCAAGTCGAGACGCAGTCAGGGCAGCAAGAGAGTGCCGCCTCGGAGTCGAAAAAAGCGAAGTCACTGACTGATGCCATGCCTGTGTGGGGAATCGAACCCCTTTACCTTCATCCCATGGAATCGGTCGTTATTTCTTATTAGTGATCGGCACGGGTCAGACGACCCGCCACGGGTCCCGGGTACGGTGTGATAAGGACCGCGGTGTTGCTATGTGAATTTGGGTGTCACTAAGAGACTTGATCGTCCTCTAGGGTGTCGTAGAGCTGGAGAGTAGGAGATAGGAAGAAAGGTAGAGGCTAAGCCGTGGTTATTGGTTTATGGGATATATTTCTCCTCGACCTCTGAAAGGTTTCTACTGTAGTGCGATTGCTTGGTGATGTGCGTGTGTGTGTGTGTGCATCAGTGTAGACCGTGTCGTAATGGTTCCAATCGTCCTGTGGTTAGCAGATAACGGTTGGAGAACAGAAATAACCTCCTTGAGCCTATATCCCAACCGCGTTGGTTATGGCTTCTCTACAATCCAGAGTCTCCGCTAATCCGCCTTTTCCTTTGTTCCCTCTCGACGTTCAACGATGGTGTGTTGGCTGCGAAGCCGTGGCGACGGTGTGTGATGTGGCTCTGACGACGGCCAATGGTCCCAAAGGTGGGAGTGGACGGCGCTTTGTTACAACAAGTCCTTCTCAGGTCGTCTTCGACAGAGCATATAGCCCATGGAGCCGATGGTCCTATGTGCGAGAGGACGGGATGGGAGGGGTCGGACTCGGGTGAGGAGCGAGTGAGCGACGAGGATGAAGAGTAAAGTGCACTCAATGAGAGGCAAGTGAGAGTGTGTGGGTCAACTCGAGTTTATATTGTGTGAGGGATACTTGGTGTGAGGAGAGGGGGAACTCAGCCCAGCAATTGACTGACTACCCGAAACCCGTTGCTCCGCTTTTATACCTTTCCACCATGCCGTATACGAGGAGCACCCCACATGGTACGCCCGACAGTTCGGTGCTGCGAGGCAGTGAACGTCGTGCCTTCGTAAGCCGTGAATTGGTCTTCCATGTCTGCGTCCGCTACGCAGAGTTTAGCCGAGGCTGTGTTCGCTTCGCAGAGGCTCCGATCGTTCCCGACACGCCAATCCCGATTGATAGACGTAAGTTTACGGTGTCCGAGGTTACTCGTAGCAGACGCAGGACCAAGAGTATGGACTCCTGGTTAGAACGAGGGGTGAACATTGTTTCGGTCCATGTTTCGTGGCGGAAAGTGTTTGGCGATGCAAGGAGGCGCGTGTGTCGTCCACCCCGTTCGTCATCCTCGAGAGTCGAGCGTCTGTGTCCGTTTCGGAGGGTCCAAGAATAGATTTGTCGTCGTTTTAGGTGAGTCGTGGTGCGGAGGTCCGGCAAACGGGGCGCTAGTGGAACAAGGGTTGTTGGTGGAATAACAACCGTGTTTGCCCGTCCTGAATGTCAAACTGCTGGTTTTGGCCGAGGAAGGTCGTATGTTCCGAATGTGGTAAGTTGATTTCCCGATATGGACTCTGCGTCAGCTACGCAGCGAGACTTTGAGGATCGTTGTTTCTTGTGATGAGTCGGATATCGCGATCCCGTGCGTCGCTTGTGTCGCCCATGAGGCGGTGAGACAGGCGTAGCCGTCACACCGACCTCACAACGGGTCGGTCAGGGTACGGGTACGGGTCCGAGCAAGAATTTTCCTGGACCTGCACGGACCCGTGGGAGCATGCGCGACCCAAGGCTCAAGACATGTATGAGGTGGTTAAGCCCCTCCAGGGCATGTCAGATCACAAAATTAATGGCTGTGTCACAATCAAAGCCTTATCTCGTCCGACTATACAGAGATAGCGGATTGGGGAGTGAGATGCGCAGGACTTCGAGAAATGAATCGAATAAAAGACTAAGGAATACAAGAAACTAACTACTCTACTTATACCGTTCTGTGAACCGTGTGAATATGAATCGTGTGTGTACTCGGTGCGTAAACCATCCTGCTGCAACATGTAGTGCCGGAATGTTCTGCAATGTTCTTTTACCATGTGTTTGCCAGGTGTTCAACTATCTAATCTAAGTCCATATCTAATCCCTTCGTTATCTCATCTGTGGGCGCTTCATTAGGCGCCTCCGAGATAGGTGTTGTCGCGATAAGATTGGAATCGAATCGTGACAGGCTGAGACTTCTGGATTTTCAAAGAGGTGTGGGTTGCATTGACTAGATGAAGCGCCAATAGGTTTCTCACGGTTGTGTTTTGCAGCGCAAAATTTCAAACTCCCTGAAAATGGTGGATCTGGGATTGGCAGGGATTGTGAGTGCTCTATATGATTGATTTTGAGGAAATTGTGTTTAAAACTATGATTCCATGCATGAAAAGTGGTCCGGGTCTCCGACGGGTCATGCGGGTCGCGAGTCACCCGCCAGACCGCAACCCGACCCGTACCCGTGAGTGCGGGTACGGATTTTGGCGGGTACAGGTAC